CTGATGGATCTACCATTCTTCACTACGAAAATGATGACCTCCATCAACCCAGTCTTCACTCCATGGGATGTGCATGCATCCCAGAATCAAACTCAAAATGCTCATCATGCAAATCAATCCCAACAACCAGGTCCATCACACACTCGTCCGCAACAAAATATCCCTCAAAACGTTCCTCTCCCAGAGGCAATGACACAGGTAGAGGATCCCAACTTACCCCTAGAGCCACTACTAGAGGATTCAAATCTCGACGAAATAAAAGTGTTCATCTTCATGGAGATGCAAGAGCAGAGGCAGACTCTCAAGTGTCCAATGGCTTTATACAAATGCACTATGGACATCAGGCCACCAGCAGATCCGACGATTGGACAACATGCAATGATTTTGGTTCCCTTCCAGAGAAGGAACCCAATTCATGCACCAAGAGTGTTGGAGAACGGGGATCTTCACAACTGGAATCTTATGATGAATAGGCCCATTAATTTCGTAATATGGAACATTAGAGGTGGTAACAACGACAACTTTAGGTTAAATTTCAGGGAGTTGGTTGATTCTCACCACCCTTGCATGGTTACACTTCTGGAAACAAGGATGGACAATCATATGTCTCTCCTTAATCCATTTGGGTTTACTGATATGATTGAAATTCCCTCCGAAGGTCAATCAGGTGGTATGGTCATCCTGTGGAGCCATACTCTAGTCAATGTTCATAGCTTTGTCCGTAGAAACCAAGAAATCAGTGCCACTATCGAGGTAATTCAAACTCATAAATCTTGGCTTTTTTCCTCTATCTACGCTAGCACTAATATTAATAACAGAAATTCTCTATGGGATAACCTTATTAATCTGCATGATTCTACTAAAGGTTCTTGGCTGGTAGGCGGCGACTTTAATGATATTTTATGCACGAGTGAAAAATTTGGGGGGAATGCTATTAATAGAAATCGGGCAAACTACCTCTGGAATTGTATTAATACATGTGGCCTACTAGATCTTGGGTATAAAGGGTGCAAGTACACATGGAGTAACCGTAGAAAGAAAAATAATCTTATTATGGAAAGGCTCGATAAAATTTACGCCAATAGTGAATGGATTAATATGCTCCCTAACGCGTCCGTTACTCATCTACCCAAGGCCCACTCAGACCATAACCCTCTTTTACTCGAGATAATTCCAAAAGCTAATTTGATCCTTCCAAAACCTTTTAGACTTGAAACGTTCTGGTGTAGACACCCGGATTTCAATTCATTAGTCACAAAAACTTGGGTGGGTACAAACTACCCCCAAGTTGCAGACTCCTTCCTTAGGAATGTCAAGGATTGGAAACATAATGTTTTTGGGGATATTTTTAGGAAGAAAAAAGGAATCCTGGCTAGACTTAATGGTATCTAAAATTCCAAACATTATCCCCATAGTATCTTCCTTCAAAACCTTGAAAAATCTCTTCAAGCGGAGTATAATAATTACCTAAGAATTGAGGACGACTATTGGAAATTAAGAGCTAGAATCTCTTGGGTCCAGGACGGTGATGCTAATACTAAATTTTGTCCACATTATGGCAACCAATAAAAAAAGGAGAAACAAAATAACCTACTTTAAAAATGAGGAAGGAAATTGGATAAATGATCCTTTGGAAATCATCAACCACACCTATGACTTCTTTCTCAAGGCATTCACTACCTCTCATCTTCATACCAATTGGCTGGATATTACTTCTTGTGCAACTACCTTTAGTAATGTTAACTTAGATTCCCTTGATAACCCTCTTATGCCCCATGAGATAACAAATGCCATTTTTTCCTTCAAATCTCCGGGGCCAGATGGTATCCACCCCTTTTTCTACCACAAATACTGGAAAACTGTTGGTCCCTCAGTCATACAACTTTGTCTACAGGTTTTTCGTACCAACACTCTCCCAAAGGATACTAATAACACTTATATATGTCTAATTCCTAAATTTGATAATGCCAATAATCTAAAAAACTTTAGGCCTATTGGTTTATGCAACACTATCTATAAAATTATTACCAAAATTTTTGCCAATAGATTAAAGCCTTTTCTTAATGATCTAATCAGTCCTTTTCAATCAAGTTTTATCAAAGGAAGGAAGACTTGTGAAAATGCTATTATAATTCAAGAAATAATGAACCAATTCAAAAAAAGTAAAGGTAAGAAATATAACATGATGCTCAAGATCGACTTAGAAAATGCATTTGATCGCCTAAAATGGTCATTCATCTATCGAATGCTTAAATTCTTCAAATTCCCTCCCACTATATCTTCATTAATTATCCATTGTGTAACTACAAGCAAAATTGCAGTCCTAGTCAATGGATCAGTCACACCCCTTTTTAGTCCAAGTAGAGGTATCAGGCAAGGGTGCCCCCTCTCCCCTTACTTATATATCCTGTGTATGGAAATGTTCTCAAAGCTTATCTGTCACCAAGTTGATACACACAATTGGGATCCAATCTATCTAAACCCTAACAATCAGGGTATCTCTCATTTATTCTTTGCAGATGACCTCACACTCATGGCCAAAGTCAACAAAAAATGTTGCACTACCATTAAGAGAAGTATCTCCTTCTTTTGCTCATTATCTGGCCAAAACATCAATTACTTCAAATCTAAAATAATCTTCTCCAACAATTGTCCCATCCCCATAACAAAAGAGGTTGCAAAAGATTTCAATCTTACTGTAAGCAAATCCTTTGGGAAATACCTCGGTTTCCCTATCCTTCAAAATAGTCCAAAATCAAATGACTACCAATTCATTATTGATAATATGCATAAAAAACTATCTTCCGTGAAAACCAACTTTCTAAATATAGCAGGACGTACCACTCTTGCATCTTCCACTCTCAATGCCATCCCGAGTCATGTAATGCAATATACTCTTCTCCCCACTAAAACACTCAAACTAATTGACCGCATCCAACGAAATTTCATCTGGGGCACCACGAATGATCATAAAAAAGTACATTATGTAAATTGGAATACGGTGACTAAAAGCAAAGAAGAAGGAGGACTTGCTCTTAAAGATGCCACCACCAAAAACCTTCTTGCCCTTAGTAATCTTGCTTGGAGAATTATTTCAAATCCCACAGCCCTTTGGTGCAAAATTATCATTCAAAAATTCACTAGGAGTAAAACTCCATACACAACCTCCTTCATTTGGAAGAGTATCTTAAAGGGTTGGTCTATATGCTCTAAAGGCATCACTTGGCAACCATGCAAAAATTCAACCCTTAACCTTTGGTCAACCAATTGGATTCCCAATGTCCTCCCCATAAGGGAAACTGTTGATAGACCTCTAAATCAAAATAATCCTTTCTTAAAAATAAGAGATATTAGTACCAGCGGGCAATGGGACCTCTCCAAACTCTCCATCCAACTACCCTCCACTATAATAAATAATATCCTCAAAATCCCCATGCCACTCCACAACTACAAAGACACCCCCATATGGAACAGAAACTCTAGTGGCCAATACACCAGCAAATCTTGCCTCAATATCATCAAACCCCACTCAAGGCATCAATACGAGTTCATGTGGATTTGGAAACTCAAATGCCCTAATAAAATGAAATACCTTCTCTGGCAATATCTTATAACAGCCTTCCATGTAGGAAATATCTAAACCACATAGGGACTAATATTAATAAAGATTGCCCTGCCTACAAAACGGATGAGGAATCTATAGAGCACATTTTTATCAAATGTCCCTTAGTTCATTCTCTTTGGCTAACACTTGGTATCTCCATTCACCAGATAACTCACAGCCAACACTGGCTCATTACCACTATCAACTTATCACCTTCAAACAAAACTCCCCATTTAGAATGGCAACAACTCTTTCCCTTTCTAATCCGGGGTATCTGGACCAATCGTAATCACAATAACATTAACAACCTCAACAGGAAGCCTTGTCTCAAATCCATATACAACTATGCTATCGAATACCATTTCTATAACAACAACTACCCCTTTATCCAAGACACTATGATAATTCCTGTAAAATGGTACGCCCCACAAAATGGATGGTATAAACTTAATATAGATGGTGCATGGACGAATCCTGAAGGTGGAATAGGGGGTGTCTTCAGAAATAGCATGGGAAAATGGATACTAGGATTCCAAAAGAAAATCTATGCTCTATTCCCACTCCATACAGAACTACAGGCGCTCTTGGAAGGACTTCTACTGGCCAAAAAATACAATCTATATCCTCTTGAAGTGGAAACGGGCTCAACAGAGGTAATCAACGTAATAAAAGATGGCAATGCAGTCCTGACTAACCTAGTTCTCTCTTGCAGGTCATTAATGCACCAGGAGAAGGGCCTCCAACTTCAGCATAACTTTAGAGAAGGGAATGTTGTCGCAGACGCCCTAGCTAAGGAAGCAAAAAAGATTAAAGCAAGTAACTATAATAAAGGAAGGACCAGGATGTTAGCAGAACCGCCATTTTGCGTACAAGAACTTTTGAAGAAAGATATGAGTGCGGATAGTCTATGCTTAAAGAAAATTTCCACTTCCTTATGTAATATGCTTAGGTCATTAGGAAACCAGAACATGGTATATGATGCTACTAGTATCCATCACTCAGCGAGGACTATGGGTTGTAATATGATGAACAATATCTAATTTATAATATATAAGTATCTTTAGTGCTCAACAAAAAAAAAAAAAAACTAAAGTAAATGTTAACTATTTTAAAAAGAGATTTAAACCTTTCAAAGACATCAAACCCCAAGTTTGAGTAAAAAATCAAATGCAAAGAATTCGATGAATAACCTAAATCAAGAAGGAAATTATACCCAATAAAAACATATCTTGTTATAAATGATGACTGTTATAGAAATGTCTGACTGTAATATGCAGTTGATATGTGAATCTGTGATCATATGCAAAACTTAAAGTTTGACTGAAAATGCACACTATAAGAAACAGCAAACTTTATCATTTGCACAAAGTTCAAGAAGAGAAAAGGAGAGTCAAAAGGCAACAGAAAAATTTTAAACTCCTATTCACCACATCCAAATTTAAGAATGATTAACCATTCCCAAATTCTAGACTACATTAACTGACTGGAGTTAAGACTAAGAAAAAGAGAAAAAGAGAAAGTAAGATAATATAAAATGGAGGCAAAACAAGGTTTGCTTTGAGTTACAGCAAAGAGCAAGAAGCAGATAGAATGAACATAGAAACGTCGGACAAAAAAAGCTTCGATTTATCTGCCATCGGAAGATGTGAAAGAGTCAGCGAAGCCAGAGGGACGGGTTGGTATACTAGTTTGAGTGTTGTCCAAACTTGGAAGGTACGCCGAAGAAGATGAATCCATGTGACTTCTACCTTCATAAGCTTGCCACCTCTTAAGAGCCTGAGGTAGTGACATGTCGAGATCAATACCATACATGTCCTCTGAGCTTTGATCGGACGGTCTCCATAGCTCCACTAGAGATGAAAGAACATTGACAGCATGACCCATGTCGGGTCTTTGATATGGTTCCCTTGCACAACAGTGTCCGGCTAGCTCGGCTACAGTGTTAATGCTGGCAAGCGTTTCCTCATTGAGGTCAATTGTGGGGTCAATTGCCTTTTGGAATGTGTCCTTATTAATGTGCATTCTTCGGAACCACGTTACTAGATGCATGCTCTCCTCGGGTTGGCTTTCGTCAAGAGCCCTTCTTCCTGTTATGAGCTCCATCAAAATCACACCAAAACTAAACACATCCACCTTCGTCGTTACTCTTCCAGTCACTGGCAAACAGATGAAAAAAATCCAGGTATAGTTTATGCCTTAACCAAATTTTGGGGAACTCATTTATATCTAACCACAAGCAGCGTAAAAACTACAACAGGAATTTAACATAAAGGACGCAAAAGAAAGCGGAAGACGATATACCTGCATATTCTGGTGCCAGATATCCAAATGTCCCAGCAATCCTTGTCTCTATAGATCCTTTTCCTTCTGGAGCAAGTCGAACAAGGCCAAAATCTGCAACCTTAGCCCTCATATCATCACCTAGAAGAATATTGGACGGCTTAAGATCCCTGTGAATGAAACTCTGGTGGGCTAAACTGTGGAGGTATTCTACTCCCCTAGCAACATCTAATGCAATTGTCAACCTATTTGTCCATTCCAGCGGTTTCAGCCCTTCCTCCGCCCAGTTAAAAAGATGGCTGCTTAGTGTCCCTTGAGGCATGTATTCATAAACAAGAAGTTTTTCATTCCCGTCAAGACAGTACCCGAGTAGAGCAACGAGATGTCTATGCCTAACCTTGGTCAAAACCGCAATCTCAGATTTGAATTCATTGAGTCCCTTCCCAGTGATAACTCCACCTTCCATTCTCTTGACGGCAATCTTCGTCCCGTCGTGCAACTCCCCTTTGTAGACTGTGCCAAAACCTCCCCGACCTAGTATGTTATCTTCACTAAAATTATTGGTCACAGTCCTCAGGACTTGAATGGAAATCACCATATTTCCACCTTCGGCCATTGGAAGGTCACTTGTTTCACTAATAGAAACAGTATGAGTCTCACCAACTGCACTGACAGTGACACTAGATCCTGCAACTGTGACCTTTACGTTATCATTGTCGTCGGAACCAGAATGGCGTGGATGGATGACCATTGCATTAGGACTCTGCACTCGAGTAAAACGCTTTTGTTTGCTTCTGTACAGATAGAAAGCTGCTATCCCGATCAAACAAAGCACAAAGATGCCCCCAATTACAGAAAACACTACAATTTGTATCCAGCTTTTGGACTTTGCATGAGTAGACTGTGCACTTATGTCACCGCCAGAACGTGAGCCCGGTGAACCTGATATACCGGGAGAAGTAGTGCCTTGGGAAGTTGCATTAGTCCTGTCCTTCCCCAAATCAGGATTTCCACCGGTTTTCAAGATCACATTATTCCTAAAAGAGGGCAATTTACCATATATTTGGTTGTTTGAAACATCTAACTCTGCAAGACCTGCCAAGGTAGTGAGTTCCTCGGGAATTGAACCCGTTAGATTATTATCTGCAAGAACTAATCTTTGCAGTGACTTCAATGAAGCAAATTCAGGAGATATTATTCCTGAAAGCCCCATATTCTGGAAATTTACGATGGTAATGTTCCCGTTATTACAAGTTATCCCAAACCAGTCCACACAAGGATCATTTCCCTTCCAATTCTCTGCAAACTTCCTCGGATAATTCATTGATTTCGCAATTGAAAGCAATGTATTGACTCTCGGATCACAGTCACCGGGTACTGGTAAACAAAAACTATTGGTATCTTTTATCAAATCCATGGAAACTGAATCTTTGAACTTGGGAACCGGTCCTTGAAACAAATTATTAGTCAAGTTAACAACTTTCAAAGATTCTTGATTCACCAAAGAAGTTGGCACTGGTCCAGTAAAAGAATTATCTCTAACACTCAATGTCTCCAAAGACTTTAACCCCGAAAAGTCGGGTAAAGGGCCTGAAAATCCATTGTCATTTAACCAAACCTCCCTCAAGAATGTCATGTTCTGTAAAACATCAATTCCTCCACTAAGATTCTGTCCATTTAACCACAAAGACTCAATCAGCGAACCCGAAAAACTAGAAGGCAATTCACCTTCCAAGTTATTAAGAGCCAAATGCAAGCTCACTAATCCAGGAAACTCATCAGCTCCTAAAAACTCAGGAATTTTTCCAGTAATATTAGCTGAATTTGCTGAAAAATCTTGAAGTACTGAAGCATTTTTAAGGCTCTCAGGTATACTCCAACTAGCAAATGGATTATTATCAATATTAACTGATATTAATGAAGTCATACGACTAAAGAAATCAACAGGGATTGAACTAAACTGATTATTACTAATAATTAACACTTGTAATGAACTTAATCCATTTAAACTAGGCAAAGAGCCAGAAATTTTATTCCATTGGAGCTCTAAATGCTCAAGTGCAGTAAGTTTAGACAGTTCTTGTGGCAAAGTACCTTCAAGATTCTGGTGCCCAATTTGGATCCGGGTGACCCGTTTGTCCACTGAACAACCCACATGGTTCCATTTGCATGGATCCGGATCCAACCAGCCCATTTCTTGAGGTGGATTTAGGCTCTTTTTCAAAGCCAACATCACTGTGGCATCATTTTCTTGAGATTTTACACCAGGAAAAAATGCAGAAAAAAAACCAAGAACCAGAAAAGCTACAAACTTTAACACAAGATGGGTTTTTTTCATCTTAAACAAAAAAAGATAGAAACTTTAAGCTTTTTTCTGTACGAAAACTCAAGGATCTTGTTTTTTTTAGCAAATTTGGAAGAAGGGGTTTTTTCAAGATTTAATTTAGAGGAGCATTTAAGGAATGTGGGGTTTTTGCAGGTAAGGAGGGAAACAGTAAAGAGTAAGCAAAGCTTTGAGAGTAGCAAAAGTTGACTGAAAGCTATAAATGGGGGGAGCTGGCAAGAAGAGTAATTACAAAAGTTGGATGATTCTTGCTTGGGAACATGGTCCCAGGCCATATAAGGACAACTTGCAAGTTATTTCATGTTTGGCCATAAATAATTAATTATTACAAAAATTTACCCATTTACACTAAGGGGTTATTTGGTTGCGGTTAGAGTTATACAGATATTAATTATACATATATTAATTATGCGGGAATAAATAATATAGAGATTAGTTATGCAAATATTAGTTGTACATGAATTAATTACGCAGGGATTTTTTTTTTTGTATATTTGGCTTGTTGTATTAGAAATTGATATACATTACATAAATTTTAAGGTTAAATACTTATTTACTAATTTTGTCTCTAATAGATTGAGAAGAGGAAGAGCCGAGCAGTGTGGCATCAATGCTCTCCAAATGGTTTTGATACCGATCAATCTATCGAAGGAAGCCTTTATGTGAAGTGATAAAGGTAAATTTGTCATTTTAATATTTTATACATGTATTAGTTATTTCATCTTCTACCCCACATAAAATAATACACAAATTGGCTCATAACTTATACATGTATTATTTATGTAGAATGTAAAATGACAGCCAAACATGGTATTAGTTATGCTGAATTTTGTACAAAATAACTAATGGCTACCAAACATTGTATAAGTTATGTTGCCCCCAATACATGGATAACTTTTCTCCTAACCAGCTACCAAGCCTTCGTTTGGTAGGGATTATAAGAATAGTGCTAAATAAGGTGCATTAATAATAGAGGGATTAGTAATGTATAGGTTAGTAATACAAGCATTAGTTATACAGAGATTATTTTGTATCCACTGTTTGATGTGGTGTATTAAATTAAAATGTATTGCGCAATTTTTAAGAATATTAGTCGTTTACGAAAATGCCCTTCATATTCTTTAGTTGTAAGGGACTTTAAGGACAATTTTATCTTTAACCATGCTAATGCATATATTAATAGTCTTGGTATTGCTAATACCATAATTTGCTATGTATTAGATATACATAGTATGATACCAAATAGGTTGTATAACTAGTACTTGCATAATATATTAGTTGAAAAGTGTACCAAATATGAGATTAGTAATATCAAAAGCTAATACGTCCATTATTTTCTCTAATGCTTCCTGCCAAACGACCCCTAAATTAGTAAAAGCAAAAGAGTAACTACATGTGCAATACAACTAGCTTTGGAGGAAGATCGCTTGGGCATACTTTTTGTCAGAAGGATTGCACCATCAGCTCTACAACACACAACCTGTTCACAAACTCCTCTTAGACAACCTGTTTGTAATTTCAAAAATATGAATGTTAATAGTAGTAGTAATTCCCCTAGATCCCCCCCTTTGTAGCGACCCACTACCGGGTCGCCCCCTTAGGTTAGTATCTACGCTTTTTAATGCTCCCGTACTACTACGCCTTAACTTCATAGAATAGTTATCCCTTAAACCAAAATTAAAAAAAATATATGTGCATATTCCTACTAAAATATAGTACGTCTTACTTTGCTTTTTAGTAATCAATGTCTCTTTTTATACTCCCACCGTTTCAATTTAAATGATACATTTTCCTTATTAGTTCGTTTCAAGAGATATATTTCAATATTTGAAAATAATTTAACTGTAAACTTTTTATTTTACCCATTTTATTCCTAATGAGAAGTTTTTATAGCCACACAAATATCATAACCCCAATGTTTGACCAAAAAGTATAAAACCTTTTGTTAAACAAATTAAATAAGAAGATAACGGGTAAATCCTAGTTAAAGATAATAACTTCTAGATCTGAAATGTGTTTATGTGGATAACGTGGGATTGCGTTGAAACAGATTTAATGCGATGTATATTAAATGATACGGTTACGAATGAGAGGGGAAAAATGATAAGCAATAAATATATTAAATGGCACTAAATATAAATAGAGAGAGTAATTCATCCAATATTGAATAAGGTGGATGATTCCTCTCTCTGACAATGATGTAAGACAAATGAATATGAGAATATAATAAGCTTTCTCGGATCTGATGCGAGAAATGTGGAATAAACAGCAAATCGAATCTCTTTGAAAAGGCAATATTTGTATTTTACTAGAGAGTCAACGTTTCAAGAGAGTTCTTATCATATAGAATATTACATGCCCCTTTTCTTCTAGTTACCTTTCTATTTATATGAGACATACCCCTAACCTAACATAAAGTACAAGTACAGAGAATATTCAATGGAATATTCTCCTGAATATCTTATTACAAAACTAGTCGTTATTGCTGGCCTGAACATTCGACCCCGGCCCTGATTAACAGCTCGCCAATAAGTTCTTTTAATCATGTGTACGACCTCGGCCTATTCGCCTCTTAGTAATTTATCCTTGTACCGGGTTCCCTTGAGTCAGATTTGATCCATACAGTTAGTCACTCTGCTTGTCGAGGTTGTATTTGGACGAGCTCGATGGGCGGACTTCGCTAGTTGCAACTTGAGAAATTTGGGTGTGTAGGTCGAGTAGTAACATTTTTATGGTGAGGTGACAACGTGGCGCTTCGAGAGCCACATCCGACTGTTACATCAGTTTGAATTGGCATCATAACATCATGTATCATTATGGTGCATGTTCCCGATACGTTACGTTATTTCCCGCACTCCTTTCGTTTTGAAATTAATGTGGTGGCGCTTTGTATCCTTGATTAGGGTGCTTGTATACTTGTAAATAGGGATGGGAACTCCCCATTTGGTTTGTTGCATTTCCAAGCGTTTGAATCTTCAAGCTTTCCCTTCTTCTCCTCAGACTTCTGCATCTTATTTCCCCCTTCTTTTAGCACTCTCTGCCATTATCACCCCTTTTGTATTTGCAATTCCTCCCTGTACACGTGACAAAAGATGGCTAGTGCATCTTCTAACCTTGAGGGAACTTCTGATCCGGTTCCATTGACGATGGACGTGCCTTCTCACGATGAAGGAGGAGCCATTGCTGCAGAAGAAGAGAGCTTCCCCGCTGTGGATGAAATAATTCCACGCTCAGGGAGGGCCAGGTCGGACTTCTCAAAGCGGCCTGAAGATGATCTTGAGCCTGTTATCTCCGAGATGGATGCGGCGGCCCTTGTTGAACTTAGGGCTAAATTCCGAATCCCAAACCATATCGACCTTATCCCAGCCGGTGACGATGTGGTACAAATTCATCGCCCTGGATACTGCGCATTCTATGCATATCCATTCGTCGTGGGTTATTCGCTTCCTCTTCCTTCATTGGCAGAGGACTTCTGTCGCTATTATGGTGTCTGTCCGCCCCAGCTCTCCTTGTATATCTATAAACTTTTCCTTATGTTGATAAAGTACGCGGAGCTGGCCAACCGCGGGATCTCTATCCGCCATCTGCTACACCTCTTCGCCCCAAGCTTTTATAGGGGTACGATGATACACCTCCGACATCGCGGGACCAAGGGATTGGTGGTGAAGATGGACGACAAGATGAATCGTCTATTGTGGTTTAATTTTTTCTACATTTGGACGGAGCACGTGGTGGCGAACCCCAACAGATTCCCCGAGGAGTGGAACTTCGCTCGGAAGTGTTCTTGCTAACTGGTTGTATGTTGTTTCTCTTTGGTGACAAAATTGTTCTTCCTTTATTATGCAGCCGAGAGTGAGCCTCCTACGTTGGTCGTCGATATTCGACTGGGTGAGCCAAATTTTACCGCACACGGTGGGGATCCGTGAGTGGTTGCAGTTTAACGAGAAGTTTGGACGTAAACCTTCTCCGACCGGTGAGTCAACTCGTTTCGATCTTTAGGTTCTTCGACCTTCATAACGTCTTCTTTTTCACTTAAGTCTTTCTTGGTTTATAGGTCGGAGGGCGAGGGCTCCTACCCCCGCTTTTCATCAATCGGGTGCCTTGACTGGTCTCTGCTCGCTGTGACTGTGGGCGAGTCCAATCAGATTATCATTTCTTCTTGGTGCCTAGCCGTCGGGCAACTGCCCTATCAGCGGAGACTCTGACTTCTCCAATATTGCATTTAGTGGACGAGTTGTCACCGGGCGAGGAAGAAGCGGTTCCGGTATAAAGGCGAAGAGTAGAGGTTGGCGACGAGGCGATAGCGAAGGAAGAGCCAACGGGGGGCGATCCCGAGCAGTCCACGGCCGTACCTGCGAACGGCGTGGCTTTGGACGCAGAGACTGCGCTCCATTCGAATGTGGATATTGCTTCCTTGCCAGAGGCTGGCGTAGAAGGAGGAGGGCGATCAGGCAGCTGAGGTCATTCCAATGAGTGATCTGTCAACGTCAGAGTGGGCCGACATACCTTCATCTACCGAAGAGAGGGGGGGAAATGTGACCGTAGATAGTGACGAGTCCGGTTCTGACATCGACCCCGAAGAGATACGGATGTTTGATGAGGGGTTGACTCGGGTAGAGGTGAGAACGGAAGGATCTACTCGTGCTATCGTCATTCCCTTGGACTGCAACTTGTTGACTAACACAGAGAGCTTAATTCCTTCTTTGCTTCCTCTTTGCACTAGAGTGAGAACAGGACCTTACATACGTTCAAGGATGCCGATCTATCGTTAGGCATATCCGGAATGGCTTTGAAGGTAAGTTTTTGACTTTTCAAGTTTTCGTACCTTTTTCTCCTTTCCTTTTCATTGTTTGTTTTTGTTGACTACTTTCTGCTTTTCGCCTGTTCATCAGACCCTCATTTTGGAGATTGAGTACGCCTGCTGAGAAAAGAAGAAGAGGGTTTTGTTCAAAAGGATGGAGTCTAAGTACAAAGAGTATCGTGTCAAGCATCGGGAGTTGTGCCACCGATTCGGCGCGGATGGTAAATTCTAGTCTCTCAGAGATGAGCTGAAGCAGAAGGACGATGAGCTCGTGAGAGTCCTCGGCAGATGTAGCAAGCTCGAGGGAGCGCTTAGGGCCAAGGATGGTGAGCTCGAGGTGAGTAGGGGGGTTTCAGACGAGTGCGTCGATCTTCAATCTCAAGTAGCATCCATGCGGGCTGAGCTTGAGCAGAGCTCGACCAGGACCAATTACC